AAAAAAAAAAATGTAGATAAGGAAAATCACGGAGCAATAAGAATTTGCCCACCAATAGTACAGAAGTCCTTTGATAGAAAGGATCAAAAGCGACGTATAAACAGAGACAAAACTCTTGGAGGTTGGAGCCAGATTCAAGCCAAAATTATATTTGATTAGTAGACATATTAATATGTGACATATCTTGCTAGGAAAAGCATAAAAACAAAATTATTGAATGAAGCAAAATATAATAAGATTGCCAACTTTAAAAGGATAATAATAATACATATCTTTACAAAGAACATGATGACCACAGAGATCCACATTGCCGATTAAAAATGAAAACACAGCAGAAATCTCACCAGAGAGTGAGATCATCTCATCATCTGAGTCTGACTCCACTGAATCAGTTTCAGAACAATCCGTTTCTGTATCTTCTGTAGATCCCAAAATATGGTTTTCACCCATGTCAGCTTGGTAGCTGTTTTCTTCAATTTTAGACACTGGAATCTCCATCTGGGAGGACAGAATTTGGTCATCAATTAAATAATCCACAGAATCATAAGGCAGATAAGCAGTTCTACTCCTCTTGGCACGAAATGCAACTCCGGAGAGCTCCTCTCCTGAGAGAGAGAGAGAGAGAGAAAGAGAGAGACAGAAAATAATGTAACATGAAAATCCAGAAATCTGATACAAATTTCAATATTAAAGCAAGAAGGTTGTTACTAATTGCCCTCTGCCAGGAGACCCAGAGCATGCTTGTCTACTATTCTGTTCATTAGATCTCCTAAAAAGCAATTCTCTACAGTTTCCTAACAAAAGAACTACTTAAGCTACTTTCACTTTTTCTTGCAACAGTCACATCCACCCAGATTTTAGAAAACTGAAAATCAATCACATATTTCCATGAATTCTAGTATTCTACTATCCAAACCATCAGAGATTTATTACAGATAATATTTTCTCCCGTTCTAGAACTTCTATATCACTTCAGCTTTCATCAGTCCATTTTCATCTATTTCTAATCAAACTCTTGTAAATCTATCCCTTTTTCTTTCAAAGACCATCAGCCATCTCTAGCAAACAAAGATCTTCAAAATGATATAATAACATGTTGCAGACTAAGCAACCTAATCCTACTTCATTCTCTAATAGACCCTCCAGTGTTTGAAAGAACTTCATTTCTACAATTTTTTTCCTAAAAGAAGACCAATTAGAGAACTTATGCATATCAACAAAAACAAACTACTAATGAAATCTGAAGTAACTGATTGAAGCTCACTTGGTGCAGTACGAAGTCCAAAGTCCTGCAAGCCTCTCATCCGAGGTAGACCAACAGCACTATCCTCATCTCCACTGAGTTGATTTCCCTCCGTAACTGTCTCCACATAAATATTCTGATTTGTTACATTTTTTTCAGCAAGAGATGAGCCTGCCTTCTGAGGTAGCTGATCCAATCTTGAATCATGTTGACTTCCACTTCCATTACCCATGTAAAGCGAAGAAGTAACAGCATCTGGTGAACTTCTGCTTCTACCATTAGAAGAAATTTCCAATTTCCCACATTTTTTCTCCAATATTTGCCTCTCAAGTTCAAGTGCATGCATTATAGCATCTTCGCGGCGTGCATATTTCTCTCTTTTCTTTGGAGGCATGCCCTGAGCAGCTTCAGCCCTTTCTATGCAGTCATCAAACTCGCCACACCTGAACGCCTTTACACGTTTTGACTTCTCCAAGTTGTACCAGTCCCTAGTGATATGAATAGCCAGACGCCAGAAACATCATAAAAAAGCGCAGACTGGGTAATGAATCAAAATACATTTATATTGCTTGTGCATTTCACTAAATAGACTGATTTCTCCAGAAAATATAACCGAATATTTGTCATATGCATTTGCGCACTAATCATGAGGTAAGAAAATATAATCCACCTCACAAGCAGCAGATCATAAATACAATAGTTCTTCACGTGTTGGACAAAATTATAGAGTAACAGGAATTCCAGTCTGAAGTATGTGGCACTTAATTCTCATGAAAAGTTCTATACAAGCCATTCATGTAAAGCATAATTGACACAAAAGAATTTTCCATTTAGATCATAAACAAACTTAAAAGTTGAGCAAGTAAGAATGAGAACATTTAACTGGAGCGCGGAACGTGCCGCAGTTTTTTCATGAGGATGTGGCAAAAGAAAATTTGAGTAAACCCTACAAAATATAAAAAAAAAAATAAAAAAAAAAAATCCACCAACTCTATGTTCATACTTCATAAGGATACCTCTAAAGCACAGCAACACAGTATATCATCCAACATGAGCCTCAATCCACTCTATCTAAATCAATGGTTTCACTAGAACCACACTCAATATGTACAACATACAAAAAAGAAAATGAGCCAGAACCTAACAGCAAAGAACCAGAAGAATATTGAACTTTACTTAGCTGTTACATGTCACTGTAATAAGATGCACAAGTTCAAACAGTTCGTAAACAGATATCAGGGATCAAATTATTTGAGTAAGCAAAATATCATATAACAGTTCTTAAAGATTCCAGGTTCATTACAATGATTAGAAAAGCGATAAACCAGAGAAGAACTTCAGCATGCTACTGAACATAGAGTCAAGAGAGTTCGAGGCATGCTGTTTATCTTGCACACAAGAGACAATTAACACTTCCTTCCAAGCTGTGATAACAACTATATCCTCAATTCACAGTGCAATGCGAGATATATTTGTGCACTGCGACATGCCCATTGATGATTTAAGTTACTGAGAAAAATGTCAGCACTCAGAACCATGGTATTCAGCTCAATTAATAAGTTGAGCATAAAAAATCCCACGCATCAAACACTCAACAGCAAGTAGACATATATTAGCATCAGGCAGACTTACAAGTAGTGGTTTTTTTTTTTTTTTTTTTAATCTATTGACTTACACACTTGCATCTTCCCTTCCAAGAAGCTTGACAGGAGTTCCTGCCCGAGGAGATGTTATGAGAGAAGATGAAAGCTCTTCTGCTCCAAGTATCTTTCCTGGCCACCAAGATCCATTTCGTCTACGAACCCAAACTATACTTCCCACACTACATTCCGCCACTAATCCTCCTGTTTCTGAGCTACCCATTTCACTCTCCTTCTCTCTTCCTCTCCCTGCACAATTACCTGATACAGTATCTACATATACCACAAGCTACAAGTGTGCAAAATAAATCCTGTTTCTTCAGCCTTAACCTTACTTTATCACAATTTTTTTCCTCTCGCTTCTCCTTAGTATAGTAGGCTTATAGGCTGTGTTAAATTTCGAAATTCAACCTATTTAAAAAAGCAGAAACGCAAAAGAACTCGAGAATCTAGCAAATCACAGAAAGTACAGAAAACTCCGCCAGCCCCACGGCTCGATGATCGCGAGAAACCAACTGAAAATTCAACTGGATAGCCACCGGAAAACAAGGTATATGATCGGCAATTTACGACGAAGACAGGCAGCAGCTGGCATTTCGACGATCTAATCGGAGCAATTGGGAATGTGTCTAGGGTTAGGGTTTCTATTCAGAACTTTTCTTTTGGGGATTTCATATTTTGGGGGAATTCTGGTCCAAATTGCAGGGATTAATTTGGCAGTTTGATTTGAAGAAAGAGAATACATCATGTTTGATAAAGCCACGTGTATGTATAGGTGAGTCGTCTCGTGCTGTTTGACTCTGCTGTGGGCCGCACGAGTTGGGTCCGTTGTACGCATAGGCATCTGATTGGGCCATTGGAAACAAACTAAAAAGTTTGCAATTATATATAAATTATTTAAATAAATTATTTACCACAATTTGTTTGTAAAGTTTTTTTTTTTTTCACATGTTAGGATAATTAGAGCATGTTTTTTTATGAAAATTTTCAAAAAA